CACGATTCACATTTATCAACATTAGCTTCAGATGTTTAACATATGTACATTTGTTTTTCATGTAACAGTTCAATTTTCTTTTTTCTCATTGTGGTGGTTTTTGATTCACTGTTTATGTCATTTCTTTTTTGATAACTTAAGTATAAGAAGTGATTCAAAGAGCGTTTTTAGAATATCAAAAATTAACGTTCTAGGAGCAAGCAAACAAAGAAAAATGCAGCAGTCTCAAGTTAAATTCGCTCATAAATTTTGTTTTTTTCAGAAGTTTGTCTTTTAGCGTAAAGAATCACTAATGAAAAGAATTAAAGTAATATGATAGAAGTTGCTACTTTGATAATTTGTAAAATGATTGGACCAGCCACCTTTAAAATTGGTGAGCATTCTTTTAGACGAGTGGACCACATATTTTTCTTCTCTAGTGATGTTCGATGTCGTTGTGATTGTTTAATTAGTACTGCGGCAAGTGTAACTGAAGTTCCGATTGCAACAATAGTTAAAAAACCAATTATAATTAATTTCATAGCATTTCGTTGTGAAAATGAAACTTCATCGGCCATGTTTTTGTTTACTAGACTAATTTGAAAGATAACTGAAAGATGAATAAGAATACAAATAAAAGTTTTTTTGTTAATTCTAACAATGAGACATAAATTTCTATTTTCAACACGCGGGTTTTTTTATGTAAAAAAATAAAATCAAACTTGGAGAGAATTACATTTGAGATTTTTATTTAACTATCGAAAAGTGTTTCAGATATATCTGTAAATAATTCTTTAAATGTTGTTGCAATTGAACCTTTCTGTGATTTTATCCATTTGTAGACAAGTCCATCCTTCATGATCTTATCTAGGACTTTGTTTGTCACTTGATGTTTACGTTTAAATTCATTTTTAATAATTTGACGTTTCTGTTCACGTTCAGCTTGCTTATTTAAAGTATATGTTAATAGAACTGATGCAATCACGAGAAAAAGTGAAAGTACACTAGTGATTATTATAAACCAATATCGTGCACAACATGATGAATTTTCCTGACTATTATGTTTTCTTTTCACTTTAAAATTCTCATTTGAAGATATTGTTGAAATAATACTTGTACTACTCATTGAATCTTTGTGTTCATTAATTATAAGTTAACATAAATTTGAAAGTCAAATGTTTTCAATGAAAAAAATCAAGGTAACTAAGATAATCACTAGGCATAGGAAACAGCATACTACTAGCTGTTAGAATGAAAACCGGATGAAATGAATCGATCACAACGAATTTTGTACCACCGTTTTATGTATCCAGAGGAATTTTCTGTTTTTTTTCTTTCAGTTATTCTTTTTCTGTGCACAAATGTTTTACTTTGTATCAGGTTACCTTATTTACTTTATGAGTGATTGTACAAACATGCAAAAAAACAATCATACAGGTATGTTTGATATTTGTATTTTCATTCAAATGATCATTGAACGAGAACAACTAAACATTTTGCGCAAATGTACGTGATGAAATAGATTAGTTACGTTAACATGAGACGGGAATCGTCGAATAAGTATATAATGAAAAAGAGATGATACCATGCGGAGAAGTGTTTAAAACAATAGAAGATAGCTATAATGTATAGAAACTAAAGATAGCGTAATAAGTAGTCAGAGCGAGTCAAGTATGAAGACGACAACGATTTTATGGATAGAGATGAATGAAGTATGTAGCCAAGATTTTCGTTATGATGAGTTATGCAATAGAATAATAGTTTATTCAGTAACTAATTATAAAAGAGTATATGCGAAAAAAGATTAATCCTTAATACGGAAATTGTTTGATTTTATATTTTCAGAATTACACTAAGAATTATCGTATTTATGCTTTATTGGAATCAGAGAAAAATCTGTTCCTCTAAATAAAGTTCAATGGATGAATGTCTAAGGAAAGTTCGATTTTGCAGTTTTTCTACCATTAACATAAGATAATATGAAAACCGCCATTAAACATAATAAAAACAAGATTCTATTAATCATTTATCGAAATCATTGATAAAACAAATTGTCATTTTTGAAATGAATATTAACCAGTAACTAAAATATGCTCGGAGTTCATGCTTGACAAGTTGTTTGAGCATATTGAACAAAAAGGATCAAAGTCAATGTTTTGATCAACAGTGATAGATAGTTCGGGTTTCGAACGAGCTAGAAAACGATGTTCAATATCGTAGTTCTGTCGCTAACGTTCAACTACCTTTCTAAGAATAGGATATGAACAATTTTTTCCAAATCATTGACTGCCAGGCTATCTGACCGATTTATTAATGTTGAAGTCAGCAACAATGACTTTTTGCAAGTAAATTTCATCTATATATTGAAAAATTTTTCTTAGAGTTTAGTCACAGTAGTAGTATATTTTTAATTATTGATCGTGCCATCCAATTTTCTGCCATTACTTCAACTGTAAAGATTGATTGATTTTGCTGAATGAAAAATTTTATTTGAATATTTCGTTTCTGATTGAAAATTGTCATTGTTAATTTTAAGGAAAATGAATTCTTTGGTTGTCTTTTTATCAGAAACAGGAATTATTTGTTGATTGAAAGTATTCCAATCAGTAAAAGTCATATGATTTGGAAAAATAATAGATGATATCAATTGACTCCAACTTTTTATGATTATTTCTTGGGTGAGAGAAATCATCATTTGAGAATTTTCAATTTCTCTTCAGAATTATTATTCTTATCAGGATGCTTGTAACTTTTTCTATTCAGTTTAATTAGAAACACAATAAATTGTAAAGTTTAACAGGTATAAACTTGAAAATTAATATATAACTCTCATATTCAAATATTTATAAATATAAAGTTTTTGAAGTTCTATAAATTGCGTCGTATCATAATCATTTCAAGCACATCTCCGATTTGTTTTTATTAATTTCGATGAATATTCTTATAGCTCATAGTGTAATGAAAGATAAATTATGTTTTATGTCTGAAAATGGATTAGAGTGATTTCGATAAATCACATTGTCCTATTAGGTATTGCATAGTTTTTCTTTTATTGAATTATATACATTTTGTAAGTGATAATACCGAGAAGACTATCATGTAATATCGATTCAATTTTTTAATATTTAATTAAGTAACACGTGACTTCAAGTTACAACTATTTTGCATTCACACCCTCAAGATTCAGTTGCATTACCATTGTCTTACATATCGGCATGCGTGATTGAAATTGGATTAATGTATTGTTGCTGTAGTGGTAATCGATATACTCAACATCAGGAGCGTTTCACTAAAACATGATATAACATATTAGAATGTATGGCTGAAACGTTCAAAAACCTTTTTTCATTAAGATATTCTGTTTATCAGCTGCAAAAGTTTTCTCAATTGTATAAAACTGATATCTTTCTCCATTTTATATACGTGAAAGTATTTTTTATTTTATTTTATTTTTCGAGATTTTTCCTATTCAACCAACAAACCAACAAACCAACCAACAAACAAACAAACAAACAAACAAACAATTGTTTTTCTAATAAAGAAATGCAACAATAGAAAGTTCATCTTCATTCAAGCTTGATTCACGTTGTTTTTTTATCTTTTCCTTTCTTTATATAATTTTGTAAGTAAAAATTAGAGAACAGTAACAATATGGACATGCCATAGACTAAGAATGCAACATCAAAGATTTTTGGAAAATTGCATGGCGTCAGTAAATTAATACTTGAATGAAGAATTACTGCAATAAATTGAATCTATTTAAAATAAAATTGTTTCTATAATTAAACATTAAATTACGATAAGTCACTTACAATTTGTGCCTGTGTTAAATAACGTTTCCACCAAAGATATTTTTGAATATGAGATCCACAGGCACTTAAACCATAATAAGCATACATAATAATATGAATGAAAGAATTTAAAATCGATATGAATATTGCTAAAAAACGTAAAAAAAAACAAATATAAATATTCAAATAAACAAAATTAGTAAACATAAAAAATTTTAAGATAAAAAAGTCGTTTAAAATGCAAAGACATTTTTATTAATAATTACTATCGAAAGTCTATATCGAAAATAAATGTTTGTATTCATCATTTTGACTACTTACATTGGCCGCCAGCAACATATTTTCCTCCGTACCATGAGAAAAATAGCATCGTAAGATGATGATAAACATGTAAAAATGTTATTTGATTATCTTTTTTTCGTAATACGAAAATAATCTAACCATAAAATATTTGTGATTAAAAAAAGTTTAGTTTTTAAATTTCATTCTTTTCACTTACTGTATCAGTTAAATCGGCTATTTTCAGAATATAATACCACCAACATGCTGCGCAAGCCTTTGAAAATAAGAGAACAAATATTTATTTCTACTATTCATATTGGATTTAAATAAATTGTGAACAAAATCATAGATGTGTCGTATATATTCAATTTCATCATAGAACCAAAATTAAAGTCTGATATTTCACTCGAGTGTTTCATAAATGAGTTAGCTGAAATATTAATAAACATTCAAATTCATTTGTCTTACTCGAATAGCAGTTTTTCGATATGAATAATCAACAGGTTGACAAAGAAAACTGTATCTCTCTTCATACCATACATATGCTGACTAAATGTAAAAGATTGCTTTTTTGCAAAAAATTGATCTTTGATTTTCCTACTTCATAGGTAACATAGGAACAGAATATCACTTGTAAAATATTATAAATAAACATAAAATTTCGTAATTCAAAAGGCTTTTGATTTTTCATCCATAATCGACCAAAAATAATAGCAAATATATAGACAACAGCTATCATAACAGTTGGAAAAACATCTTGCATCAATGTCCAATTCTTCACACGTATATCTGTATAAACATTTTATTTTGATTATAAAAGCATCTTGATGAAAATTTAATAGACTTGCCTCCATTTTCTGGTAAAGTATAAAAAAATTCCATTGCTAGTATTTGTTTCGCATCAACGAATGAATCCAAAGTGTAATAGTGCATACTTTCGTTGCTCTCAATACAATGTATAGGCATGAATGTTTCTTCATGTAACTTTGGTGACAAGAGAAAAGAAAAAAAAGGAGAGTATTGATTTGAATACAAAAGTGAAAATGATTTTTTTTTCTCTTTTAATAACAATTTTGAACGGTCAAGAGAGGCTGCTTCAGAGAATGCAAGAGAAATGTATTTCTATAGGGGCAGTTTATTTCCGTTGTTCGATTAATTTTACTTTTAAGAAGTTATTCATTTTTACTGATTGAAAAAAAGGAAAACTTAGATCACATTACAATATGGACGGATTATTAAATATGCATTGAGTTAGATTTCTTCCTGTTAATATTTTTTTCCGGAACGCGTCTTGCCTGCGTCGAATTTAAGTGAATGTACACTTGCAAAGCTATCATAACCAGCGAGAATTACACATTTTAAATAGCGAACTTCCATTGAACGATCTAATGTATATTCATTGACTTGAAGAGCATTCTCATTATTGGGTATAGCTAAAAATTCGAACAGAAAATTATCTTGCAATGTAACAAACAAACATTTAATTGTGCATTACTTTTTTCGAGAATAGTATCGAAACTTCTTGGTTCAGTATTGCTCGTAGTAAACATAACAAATCGTTTGACTAAAATGTTTACAAAGTTCAAGTAGTGAACAATTATAATGGAAAAAAAAAGATTTGCTTTTCATTATGTACCATTAGCTGTTACAAATCGTAGTTGCCGAAATTCAATTGGTTCTTTAAATGTAATAATAAATTCTTGCGGATATAAACCTGTGGTCATCCAAAAGACATTATCACTTCTAATTAAAAAGAAATTCATACAAAAATAAATTATAGTAAAATGTTTCGTAAATTATGACTCTTGGAATATGTTCATTCGTAAGAAATGCTATTTATTTTACTATGAAAACAAAAAATAGGTGCCGTGTGTACGGCTCTTTTGCAGTTTTTTTCTCAGTAACTAGAATAATATGCTTTATGCTAATTATATTATTTCACGAAAAAAGTTATAGATCAAAAAACAAAAAGTGGAATATACAACATATCTTTGTTTCAAACGCTTCTATCATTATTTTAGTTTCGACGAATCTGTAATGGATGAAAGCTGCTATACTAATTCTGTATTCAAAACATGTTTATGTATCAATTATTAGTAAAACCAAACTTTTCAATTTTTGTTTAATATATTGATTTCGATTTGTTTTATGATCACTAAAATTTTTTTTCTCATTTTGTAAACATCAGACGTAAGAATAAATGACATCCGTAAGTTTTCAGCTAAGCTGCACTGCAATAAACTATCACTAATATTTGCTATTTCGAAAGATACAGTACTTACGGATCAAGAATATTACTTGGTGGATAATCTTGATCGGCACTAGAAGACATGGAAATAAAGGCATTGGACTCTGTTAGTGTCATCTTCAAGAAAAAAAAGTAAAAGAAAAGGAAAATTTAATAGTTTCATTATGTTGTCTATTAAAATTCTTTTTATTTTCTTGTTTATTGAAATAAAACAGTCAACATCACCACACTGCATAACCTTTTAAAGATCTTTTTTTACTTCGATGATTTAAACAGAAAACAATCATAGAAGATCAACAGTTGGAATCATTCAACCAAATAAACTAAAATATTGCCAATATCTTGTTCACCTACAACCACAGTGCCATGAATTGAATCAATTTGCAATATTTGATCTTTATTTTGAAATTCGACAAGACCTTTTAATGGTGTTTCCATACTGGGTATTGATCTCGTATAAAATTCCCAATTTTGATAATAAAATAGACGAATAGTTTTACTTAGTTTTAATTGGCGATCACCATTTCGTCTTAACCGTGATTCTAATTGTTCAATTGTATCACCATTCATTATTGGTAGAGACCATTCAAAATTCGATGTATATGGTTGACGATTAATCAAACGTATTGTTACGGATGCTTCATGACGAAAGTGTACAAGTGGCTTACCAGGTATAATATCTTCTACAGTAGATACTGCTGCTGTCTCGTTATCATTACCATCCGTTAAATGAATTTCAATTTGTTCCACATTAAGTGCACGTCGAAGATAATCTTGATTAAATTGTAAAACTTGATATTCATCAAATGATAAATGTTGATCTAATGCTGATACATTTCGACTTTTTTCTAATAGATCTTTTGAATAAATAACAAACGGCATTAGTTTTTTTTGATATTTCTTATCGATTTCTGGACGATCTTTAAAATGAACTGCTAATTGTTTACTATCAGGTAATGAATGATTGTTTGCGAGATACAATTTTTTTAATTCGTTAATAACAAATGTTTGCCATGATGGATATGAACGTGCAACATGGATTGCTGCATGTGTTGGTGGCAATGGTGGTTGAGTTTTTACTCCTTTCGATTTACCACCTACTTGTTGAGTTGAATAAGATTTAAGACGAAGGCGAAAATCATGAGCAGTATTCATTAAATAATTGCATGAATCAATCAACGATTGATCGACTTTACCTATGATAATAGAAACAAAGTCTTATGAAATAACTCTCAAAATTTAATTCCAAAAATCTAAAAGCAAGACTAACATTCTTTTTGAAAGGGATCAATCTTCCTTTTTTTCCATTTCATTAGTAAATAAGAATTTTCTATTTGTTTGACTAGAATTTTTTTACTCTTAAATCAATTACAGATGACTAGAAGCGATTGTCAATTTTATTGAATTGACTCAAGTATTTCAATCGAATCAAAGTCAATCGAAATCTTAATGGTCAACACTAACGTAAACATGGTATGAGCAAAGGATTAATAAAATATATTTGATATTAATTTAAATACGCATTGATCTATGTAATACTAGAGAACAAATATACACAAAGAGAAGAATCAAATATGGTGACCGTGTACACCAGTCACTTCCTATCTTCGATAGTATTTTTTAATCTCGTGGCTTAATAATAATTTTTACGTTGACAATTATAAATTAATTTCTTTTTTCTTGTATGAAATCATTTCTTACCAGCTGTTGGCCATTTAGCATTCATAATGGTTGTTCCAGGATGAAGAAATTGATAAACATAATCGCAAATATGTGGACAAATAGGTGATAATAAGATAGCTTGTACTTCAATAAAACGTTTAATTAAACGTAAATTCATTTGTTCAGATTCTGAACATAATTCTCGATAATTATCACGTGCAATTTGTAATGCGAAAAAGCCATACTTAAGAACATCTTTATAGAGCATTTTTTCATAACTTTCTTGTGTTAATTGAATTGTACGATTTATTTCAGATTCAAATACAAGATCATAATAATTATATTTCGTATCTATTCGATAGTGAGATTTTTGTTGTTTCGTAAATTCTTCATCTGTATTATCTGAACTGGTCGAAAGATGTAATTTATCTTTGACCCAATTAATAACCGATGAAACCATAGTTGAATTCTCTTCTGATGCATGTTTTGAATCATTTTCTTCTTCAGTATCTACTGGATTGATATTAAGTATTTCTTTAACCCATTCAATAAATGTATATAGACGTAGAAGTTGTGCTTGAGCCATTTCTTCTTCAAAATTTGCATCTTCAATTGAATCACCAGCATCGGCTAGTGTCAAACGCATACCTATATTATAAAGAATACGATTTTTGGTTAAATATTTTTTAAAATTTCTTAGATAAAACCAATAACGAACCATCAGCGGAAAACTTTTCAATCGCTTGTACTAATGTTAGAAAGTTGCCAGTTGATTTAGACATTTTTTCTGAATTTAATAATAAATGTCCATTAGCACGAAATGAACGTGGCCAAAATTCAGGATTATTAGGCCAAATTGCCGTATGATTATATATGGAATAAGTAAGATGATTTGGGATTAAATCTTTTCCACTGGAACGTAAATCAACTGGATACCAATATTGAAATTCATTACGAAGATGGTCAAGTGTTGCGTGAGGAATATCTGTTGTTGACGATGGATAAGGTTTGTCAGGAAAAAATATATAATCCCAAACTGCAATTGTTAATTGAGATGGAAGAATATTTGCTGGACCTAAAATTCAAATTAACCATCAGTGTATGTTGAGAAAAATTCATTTTCAATAATTTATACCTAATTTTTCACCGCTAAAAGAATCTCGTGCTTGTAAGAGATGAGCTACAGTATAATAAGCCATATAAATAGTTGAATCAGATAATGATTCAATTAAATATTGTTCATCCCAAGGTAGCTTTGTTCCAAGACCATATGAACGTGAACATGCATGTTCATGTAACCAACCTAAGACAGCGTCAAATTGATTACGTGTTTCCGTATGATAAACATTCAGTTTATCTAATGCGTGTTTAGCTTCTTGTTTCCATTTTTCATTACCATAATCAAGAAACCATTGATCAACAAGAGCTACAACACATTCATCATTTGATCGAGACATAACTTTTCCTTCTGGTTCATAATAAGCACACGCTTGGCCATTTGTGATTAAATCATCACGAACAAGTTTTTTTGCATCACATACTTTCGTATTTGCATATTTGCCAACTACAAGTATACCGTCATAAAATGATTTTGTATAAATTTTCTCCTTTGCTTCCAATAGTTTATCTCGATCATTTTGCGATTGAATTTTCATTTGACTACAGATGGCAGGTGCTGCAAGACGACCATACGGTTCAAGTTCAATAATTGGTACAGGATCATATGGTAATACCATGGACTCTTTAATATTATATTTGTCTCGTAAATTCACCTTTTATGAAAGAAGAAAAGAAAAGTTGTTTTTTTAGTGAACAGAAAGACAAAACAAAACAAAATAGAATTGTCTTTTACCTTATTTTTAATATCCATTAAAGCAGCATAATCATCTGGTGAATCACTTGGTACTGATGTAACAACACCCGTACCTTTATCTTCTTTAATTGTCATCATTGGCAATACATAAACTGTTTCATAATGCGAAATTGGTGCATGTAATGGTAGTCCGAATAATTCAGAACCTAGAAATTCAGCTAAGACAGTATATTGACCACAGACAGCTGTATATTCTTGATAAGCCATGTTTCGAGCTGCACGTCGTGTGCATATAAGAATACCGTGTGAACGTGTTTCAAACGCTATATAACGAATATCTGGATGAAGCCAACAATTTGTTTGGCCATACATTGTTTCTGGTCGAAGAGTAGCAGCAGCTAGATAAACGCCAGTTGTCGATGATGTTACATGAGATTTTAATTTTTCTGGTATATGGTCATCATGAATACGAAGTTTAATTAATGTATATTCTTGTGGAGCAACACCTTCGCCACTACTACGATCATGATCCATACATGGTTGATCATCTTTCGGTGAATAAATTGTATAACTTTAAGAAAAAAAATCAAGTTATGGTTATTGAATATAGAAAGATTTTTCTATTTACCGTTTACCAAATTGAATTTTACCACCTTCTTTTAAATGATGAAATTGCCAACGGACAAATGAATCATAGAATGGATTAATATCAGTTGTTACGAATGAACGACGCCAATCAACCTATAGAATATGAACGCTAATAACATTAAACGAACCAAAAAAAAATGAAACTATGATTTACTTTTAAGCCCATCATTTCGAGATCACGTTTGCCACGAGGTGGAAAATAAGAAATCCAATATTGTGGATCAGCAAATCGCCGAATTTCATCATCGTCGTCGATTCCCAAACTACGCATTATTTGCCATTGATATTTTTCACCACCACTCTTAGCTGTTGCTTTACCCTATTCGAAGGCAAGAAACAGATTAAAAGTTTTTATCCTACTGTGCACGATGAGATATACCTTCTTGCTCTTTGATTTATTATCAACTTTACTACTTTCACTTTCATTTGTTGTTGCTGCTGCCTTTTCTTCTTCATTTTCTTCATTTGTATCAGTAGGAAATTTCGGTGGAAATCCAAAATCTTCCATTTCACGTTTCAATTTATCGGCAGCAGCCTGTGCAATTAAAAAAGCTTTTAACAAAATATTATTGTCATTGAAATGAACCTACTCGAATAGGCATGCCTGTACAATGAAATCCAAATGGAAATAGACAATGTTTTCCACGGAGACGTTGAAAACCAACTGCGAACTAACAAGAAACAACCGAAAATATCTATGCAAAGAAAAATAGAAAGTAAAAGAGTAGATATCGAACCTCGCATTTCGACAATGAAAATGTATGTCCTAAATGAAGCCGACCATTCATATATGGATAGGGAAATGTTACCAAATATGTATTCGAACTACAACAAAACCAGATATTTCATTTTAACAATTTAAATAGCTCGATTTTACTTTTTAGTAGGATGACCAGGTGCATCGACTTCAAATATTTTTAAATCAGCCCATAATTTTTGCATTTGCTTTTCAATATTTCGAATAGTATCAAGTTTGACTGTTGAACGTTTCTCCGTTGATACTCCATCAGCTGCATCAACAGCGGTTGATACCTTTGACGTTGCCATGCTTTGGATTTTGATTTAATTATCTACAATAAGTATATATTCTAGAAGTATTGCATGATTTTACAGAAGAAATGGTACTGATAAAAAAAATCGATTGCATCAGACTACGTTTAAAGAACGAATCAAGGAGAAATATTTTCAGCCTATCATCAATAGTCCAAACAAGTAAGTAAGCAAGCAAGCAAGTCCATACTATTGTGAGTATGACGTGTTCATAGAGGTCGTTCCTTTACAATTGAATTATATCATCAGTAAAGTTTAACAACTCCCATGACGTATAATAGTGATTGTGCTACCGCTGATATAATTCGATATTGCAAAAGCCGGTCTTATAGTGATAGGTTATCGATGGTCATGGAAGAATCGACTAGAATTAAACGACAAAAAAGTGGAATAAAAATTATCTAGCAATTTTCAACTCCATTGAATAAATCTTTTGGATTTTAGTCTCGATTATGTACGTAATAATGAACTAAAGTTATTTTCGCCATTTTATTATTTTATGAGAGATGCATTAGAACATTTAATACACTGATAGTTTAATAATCTCATCAGATCCAATAGAAAACAAATGATAAACGAAAGAAGACCTTAACTAACTTCTCTATATCTCAAAAAGAATCTTGAAGATATTCAATCAAATATTATAACTAGTGACAAGTGATATTTCTTCGTTAAAGGTAAGTAAGGAATTGGTATTTGTCTCAATAGGATTTTATATTTCATTTTGTTCAGGGTCAATCACATATTGATTATTATTTGATGTCAATGCAGCTAAAATATATATACAGTGAATCTTCTTTCACAAAAAACTGGGATAGAAAGGAACAATCGACATAATAATCCTGCAGTCACTAATCAGCTTGAAGATACAGTACTAATAGTTGTCTGTGTTTTACTGCTACTGGTAATGAATGAATTTGTTTTACATCGATGAGGTGAATATATTTTATTTTTTATCTGATTTAATAACTATTGTCATTTAACTACATGTTGTTTTTCATTGAATTTAACAATAGGGATATACCAAAAACGCTGACTGGATTTGAGCTCTATACATGTGCATACTAAATTACTTATTTTAAAGTAATAAATGGCCAAAGTCTTTCAGGGCTTTTATCTACGTATACAAGTATTGATTAGACATGATTTAATTCTCTTCTTTTATTTTATTTTAATTTATTTTAAATTTAAATCAATTTAATTTGACTTGATTTGATCTTATAGTTTATTAATTTAAATTTAAATTTAAAATTTACNATAAACTATAAGATCAAATCAAGTCAAATTAAATTGATTTAAATTTAAAATAAATTAAAATAAAATAAAAGAAGAGAATTAAATCATGTCTAATATATCAACCTTCTTAACAAAACAAGAATACAAGTATTGAAATCGAAGGTATACATCAGTGGAAAACTTTACAGTTGTCTTAAATGTTTACTTGTTGATAATTATTTTTCAAAAACTTTCATCAAAACTCTTCGTTTGTAATTTAACTTTCGTTAAAAGTGTCAGAATGTATTTCTTTTACTTAGCATAAATGAATGTTTCATAAAATATTTAGTTTTAGATGTTCTCTCATAATATTCATTGTTTCTATTGGATAGCAGAAATTTTATCCGATGATAGTTATGAAATAGCTCATTACTATAATATTTCATGTACACTAGTACAGGGATAATTGAGTATGTATTAACTCGAGCTTCAACCCATTGAAATGATATATTATATCATCATTTTCGTCTTATCAATGTTCAAACAATACTAATTCTGGATAATGTGGTTTCAAAAGTGAGTTTCAGTCTATGTACATAACATGACTCATGTATTAAAATTGAGAATGATTGGACATAAACTTGAGTTTTATTTTCAAGAAAAATTCTGAAATCATAAATGAATAACAAATGGATTATATTATCAAGAAGCAAATCGTATGTAATCAATGCCAAAATGATCTCCATTGCCAGAACGTACGGGATCTATTCGAAGACGACGTACAATACCATACCAATTTGTATTTGATGATAAATCTAATGTATACTCGTGCCAACTATCATCAGGTTTTATGTTAATCGAAAAACTAGCTGATTCTGAGAAAGAATTCGCAATATTATTTGTATTCCAGAATACTTGTAACTGTTCCTCAGATTTTTTGCCATTGCTTATTCTAATAATTAACTTTTTCACTACTGTTGTGTCAAGCATAAGAGGAGGACTTAAAATTTGAGGATCACTACCCTTAGGTCTCAACATCCACTGGCCATTTTGAGGACTATTGGCAAATTGCTCTACATAGGACACTATGGTCCATCCTTCATTGTTTCTGTCAAAATTAAATTCGTAGGATCTTGGATTTTGAGCAGTATATTGTGTGAGACTAACATTGGCTAATTCAATCGTTCCAATATTCAATCCAGTTATTTCCCAACCAACATTCATTCCACCAACAAAATATCGACTAAGATCATTCGAACGTAAGAAACCACGTTGTACGGCTGCTTGAAGACCTAATCGAACAAATGGCATCATATCACCAGCGACATGCACTATAGAGCCTGATTGTACAGATGTAGTTGCAAAATTAGAAAACGCAGGCGAATAGATTAAGGAACCAGTGCCTGGATCACCATTAACATATAAACTAGTCATAGGGACTCGATCATCATACACACCAATACCTAACCAAAAATATTTGCCATAGTCAGGATCGTCATCTACCAAATTTTGAATAGTCATATAGAGTGGAAAGATGGCAGCATGTAAGTTTGAGTTATAGCCAGATTGAATATGTTGATCCATGTATAGAAGATGAACATCCAGATCCCAATGTAATTCAGTCACCTCACTTAATGGTAACGAATGATGAGTGCGTCCAATTGTTTGCTGCATTAGAAGATGCACCCAAGGAGCATTGGGTGCTTTGTATTGACCACCATATTCATGATAAGCATTCATTGCTAACTGTATTCGACCGTCTTGAAAGAGTATCACACTTTTATCACTTGTTGCCCATTGCATACCTTTACTGATTGAATCATTCATAAAAGTACCTTGGGAAGATAAATTCGAACGGCTAGCCCATTGAACAATTTCCCAGGAGGCGCTACTATTCGATACCGTAGAAAATGGATTGAATAAACGATAGTGAGGTCCAGCAGAACACTCAGTTGGATCCGACAGACAAGCAGGAATAACGTCAAAACCTTGATCAAATTTTATATCACTAAGTAGTTGTGTTCCTTCAAAATAAGATTGAACTGTCATAATGAGTATCAATAATATTAAGATGATACGTAATCTCTGAATCATTGTGGTGGAACTTGATATTCTAAAAAAAAATAGTAAACGGGCACAGTCAATGGATGTCACAAATCTAGGAATGCATTGTTGTCTATCAGCAGAAAAGCACAGCCAAGTTAACTGCTGCTTGTTATTCCCATGATTTACTTATCGGCAACATCGATTGTCAATGATACGACAACAACAAAAATCAAGATTGAAGACTGTTTTATCAGGTTTTTTTTATATGTGAACCTGCACTCCATTTTATATAATAGCACTTCGGAAGCAAAATCTATTACGATTAAAATATCATTTTAAGGGTACGTCTATAAGGGAGGATGAGGGCTTCTCGAAAACGTACACTTACATTTTTTTCGAAAATATGCGCGAGTTCCACAAAACATCGACCTTCCTTGTATCACGTAAATATCGATTCGACAAGCGATTCCCATAGTTTTTTTTAATACTGAATTAGATCAGAAATTTATTTGAATATCAAGATTCTTGGATAATGATAATCAGATATGATTTGGTACGAGTCTATTCTTTTTATTTAAGAAAGATTTTCTTATTTAGATTGTTTTGAACTTATACACATGAAAGAAAAGGAAAAGGAAAAGGCAAAGGCAAAAGAATGAAAAATAAATTGTGTTAGAAAGAGATAGACAGAAAGAAAGATTTCAGCTATTATTGTTAGAAAATCTTTTTTTTTTAAATTTTCCTAGGGACTTGGGCATATCTCGTCTAGACAATTACATATCCTTATTCAGTTTTTCATGTTCTTTCCAACGATGTGATTCTTATTGTGTCTGCAAGAAAAACAAAATTTTCGAGTCACTTGATATGAATATTTATTATGGATTATTCACCTCTTCTATCTTTAAGATGAAAAAGAGGGTGCTCGAAGCAAGAACGTGTGCATAGCTACGTGTAAATACATATATTAACATTCAAAGATGAAATGTTTGTAAGAAAAATGGGTTCTTCTCTTTCGACATTAATATGATATGGTAAGTTATATCCGTATAATCAACACACGTTTTATACTAAGTTTCGAGTCTTAAACCACTTGATCCATATCGATTTTCAAATCGAACATAGTCTCATGAGAAAGCACGTTCATTGAAGTGTGCATTTGAGAAATCATATTTCTTTTCTGTATCCGTATTGAATTGATCTTCACTAGATTTAAAAATAACATCAACTGTTAAAAGATGATTCAACAGAAAAGGACTTCAACAATGAAGAAGCTCTTATAGACTTTGACGAAGAAAATTTTTCTTAAAATGAACTAATTACGGATGAAGTTAATTTGATTGGTAATAGACATTTAATTGATAAACTGATCGTAAAGATTCTAATAAAGTACTTCAAATTATTTTCATTTTTGTATTAGCTTTCGATAATCGTTTTTTTAAAATTAGCATCAATACAAAGCGTTTCACACTATGCCATCGGCAATCATGAAGAGTAGTAATTTACATTTCGATAAGTTAAATATAAATAAGAGAAACACAGGAAGAATACAATGTTAGTAACATATACCCTTGATTCTATCGTCTAACAATCACTGCAAAATTGATCAAAATTAATATTCTTTTTCAATTTGTTAATGAATTTACATAAGAATGTAGAACCGTTGAAAAGTAAGAGAAAATTTCAAAAAATGACACAAAAATTCAATAGCAATGCTTATAGACGTGTCAGGCTTCAATCATTTGGTGTAATTTTTGCATGGTACCATTGCACAAGCTTTCCAAAATGCTTTTTGGCACGAGAGGATCAGCTCCAATTTGCATAATTGTTAAGATTCCATTCACATTTTGCAGTATAGTAAACGGCATGGCTCCTAGAATCATATTAACGAAAGGAGTCATTTCTACAAGCTTCCATCTGCCATAGTCTTCAGAAAATGGTAAAACACCCCAGCTAGAAATAGCGCTAGTTGGAAGTACAGAGAAATCGGGAGGACCTAGAGTTTTTTGGAAAATCTTTCCCATAATTAAGCCAAGAGCAAGAATTTGACCAGCGTCGACTGATGCCTTTATAAAGTCTCCAATTACAGTTGCCAGTTGCCACATATCTCTGGAAGTTGTTGGTATATCTCTTAGAGGTAATATGAATGGCATGATACCTGACACATGATAACTAAGATCATGATTAGAAACTGGTGGCACACATCGTCTACGAGTATCAGCTCCAATAGATAAACGTAATGCAGTTGGATGATCTTCTTCAGATTTGACTAAAGTAGAAGCTGCACATAGAATGGCACTGCTAACAGCAGAAGTTACGGTTACACCTTTACTACGACATTTTTCTACTAGCATTTGCGTTTCTTCCTTATTCAACATCGCATAACAACTTTCCGTATGACAAAAGTCGCACATATCAGTCAATGGAAAGTCGACATCGCCTAATGGTATTCTTGCAATACTCTGGGCATTGATTACACGCATATAAAAAGCGGTGAAGATAAATTTACCGAGTGCAATCACTCTGCCAATTATTGAGAGACTCCTTTGAATCGCCGCCTCCATAGTTATTGGCCAATCTAATGAATTAGCAAACATATTGTCATTTTGACCAGCTAAAGCTATGAGAAGTTCATTTGCCACAGAGCTCAAGGAGATACCATCGCAGACACTGTGTTCGCAAATAATTATTATTTCTCGTGGACTGTTGTCATCATTGTCATCTTCAGGATCCTAAAAAAATCAATGCATATTAACTGCGTGCGTCTACTATAAGTAGTAGTATTATTAAGACTAAGTAATATTATTTAATTAGACAGCTACCAGCTCTTCTTTACCTGCAAAAGCCAAAATTCAGCAAGCCCTTGACCAATGTTCGTTATTTTTTTCTCTTGCTGCCGCCATTCTTGGCGCCAGAAGATTAGATGATCAGCATGCTTTCGTGGTATTACTCGGATGTTAAGTTTCAGTGTGTCATCTTCTTCCAATAGGAAACTATCTGGTTTTTCAGGGTTAATTTTAAGACGGCTTCTTAGAACAGGGTGACGGCGTTGAAGGAGACTTATTGCTGCAGATAATGTTTCTACAGAAATATACGGCCCTTGAAGATGTAAGACTTCGCCAACTTTAGTGTATCCTTGATGCTGTTGCGATGCATGCACTAAAGCAGTTTCTGCTGAACCAAGTAATCGTTGTCTTTTATTAACAGCTGGTGTATTATTTCGTTGAAACCAGGAAAACATCTGTTTGAAGAAAAAATTTGTTGATGAATCAGCTACTTGAAGAAATAAATGGTAGTTACATTGTTCGTAGAATTTTAGAAAATCAAATTCAAAACCATAAATAAATGTTATCTCAAGAGTAATACGATATCGACATTGGCACAAACACAATTAATTAATGAATAGAGTCTGAAAAAATCTGTAAGACAGAATGTCGATTCATCAGCTCTATTTTATTGACAAAAGCGTATATGAGAAGCGAAATTTTTATTCAATATTCAGGCATAGCTATTGTTTTGATATGTTTTGTCTAAGAACTATTTTGAAAATGAGATATGAAAACTGAACATATTACTCGGGGAACATCGCTAACGTGACAGTGATAACTCATGAATCGTAGTTATTCATTGTTATAGTATTTATTACAGTGATTAAAAGGATCAAGTACTTTAACTAAAGAGCTTTACGATTAGTTGAGTTCTCCTGAAGCTATAATTGAAAATATAAAAATTTCTTGTTTTGCCGTGTGTCATGGCATAGAGAGCAAAATCAATGTAATTTGAGAATTATTATTTGAGGTTCGACGAGTTTTTTGACTACTTTGATAGTTGCATAATGTGTGAAAAGTATTCAATCCATTTTTTATGGAGTCGAGTACTAGAATCTTATTTAGACATTACTGTATTTTTTATGGAGCGTATTTGAATATTTGAATTTTCTGTTATTTCTACACAGATTAGTACTCAATAAAATTGCAATAATAATTTAAATTATATCTATACTTTTTCTGCTTCGTTTATGTTACTTACAAGTGTCCTGTCATGAACTCAATTTATATTAGAACTCGAATCAGATAATTACTTTATCCTAAATAAATTCCGCTGATATAAACCCACACATTTACGTAAATTGCGATCTACGTTGTTTCTACCGTATCCATAAAATATTTACATCGTGAATGAGTGGTCTCGGAGAAAAATTAGTAATAAAGAATCTATTTTAAATATTATAATTAATGGAAATAAAAATACTAGAGTACTTACTCTCGAACAAAATCAACAAGAAAAAGATCTTTTAATTGCAGTAGATAAAGTGTAGGTATGACTAAGAATATGCTGATGTTGTTATTATTTTTATTGAAGCATCAACAACACGAATAGCTAAAGGGCAGTGTGACATATTGATATTCTGTAGTTCTTTTATTCCTTCTCTCTCTCTCTCTCTCTTTCTTTGCCAAAGTAAGCGCGGATAAGTAATAAAATATGCGAAGTAATATATCATGTTTGCTTACAGTATGAAGAGTAGAAATAAGATATAAGACAGTTCAAGTCAAGGACAAAAAGAAAAAGAAACGAACTACGTCACATGTGAGTCATTTGCAAACTCTAGGGATGATACAAAATTGTCGAATAATTTTACATTTTTGAAGAAAAATTCGATTTAAATTTAGAAGAAAATAATGAGAATAAAAAAAGAAACTTCTCAATTTTTATTTGCATGAGAGATTAATGTATGTTAATGATAAAATCAAATAATTCGGATCTATATAAAACGGATTCAAAGAATCGAATTAATAAACAGTTCTTCTTTCTAGAAACATACTGAAAACAACCGATGCAGTTTCCACTAAATTCACATATAACTCGATAATTATAAGTTTAAACTAATCTAACTGTATGTAAAGTGAATTCATACTCGAAAAAATTGTGCATACATGGCTGTAAAACGAACTGATAGATGACGACGCAATACGATGAAAATCAATGTCTTATGACGTCGTTTTATACGTGCTTCAAGTCGTATAAGATGCCATTTTAGATGGTGGGCCTGTGTATGTTAATATGATTATTCTCGTAGGAGTCATCCACAATTAATCCATATCATTATTCTGTTTTTCTCATTACTTTAACTCTTATCACTGTATTATGCATGCAAAAGAAAAGCAAGTCTCTAGTTTTTCCAAGGGGAGGACATCTCATTCGGGCATTCCCAGCCATTCCTACTCATTCGAATGGCTCGGAATGAGTTTTTTTCCCCTTGGATTACTACGTTACACTAAGGAAACTGAAATATCTAACTAGACACTATTAAGTAATTTAAAATCGATTCTAATCCTGAAAATATGAAGGATTTCAATATTTATTCTGATTTACTAATATTTAACGAGTATCATACTACGACGTCATGGTACTATACCGAACCAGAGCTAGGATGTAAATATAAATACGCTTTAACTAATTCAGAATGCGAGCAGATTTTATTTAATTGCTTTGTACCTTGTCTGATGTTTGATGAGCTGATCAATAACATATGCTTTTTTTAAAACTTTTCGTTGCCTTTGTCAGCTAATGTATCGCTTCAATATAGAATCTATTAGATTAATTAATATAATTTCAATCAAAGAAATTGGGATGTAAGACTTTAAATAGATTTTAGTAAATAATTTTCGAATCCATAATTGTTGATTCATTCACATTCATAAAATACGATGATAGATAAAACATGAAATTTTATTTTATTTTTCTCTACTATATTCATACAGTGATTAGCTTGAATTTCACATTGAAGTTAGATGATCGATCAGTCTATTTTTGGTTCTTTCAAAAACCATGAAAAACTTCAGTCATTATTTCATCGGTTTCTTAATACAAGTGTTGCTTTCAACGTTTCAAATATTATTTTCATTTACATTGGCGAAATCAAATAATATGAAATTTGTTTTTATGCTTACTATATTTTATATTTGATCAGTAAAAGGAAGTTCCTGATGACCTTAGTTTATATTGGTCGTTTTGATTATATAGATGGAAAAAAAACTCTAGTTTCATTACAGTAATTATACATTGTCGAAAAAATTGTACTTTTAATTATGACAGGCATGATACATTAGTCAGTTTCTGGAATCTTTCTTCTGTAATGAAAGCAAAGAATATCTTTACCAACATGAATGTAAATTTCTTTGAAAAACAAATCTCAAATTATGTGAACGCGTAGTCAACTATTGATGTTCATCACAATGATAATGAATAAATATACACGATATTTCAATATAGATTAATCCTTTAATTATACTACATGCGAGTCCAATTGTAAAATAAGATTTATCAAAGTACATGCCGATGCTAATCATCTTCATTATAATTATTTAGAAGAATGCATTTCGATTATTGTATTACAATGATCTTTCGAATAAGAAGCAAAAAAATTGATGATTGACAGATTTCGCCGAATGAGAATGAAATCTTTTTTTCTCTTCTTCTTGTCAAACGTATTAACAAAAGTCAACAATACAGAGTCTTATCAAAAACAAAAATGAGTTGAAAGTCAAAAAAAAAATGTTTTCTTGATCAACCATTCGTGTGACTATTTTAATATCAATTATTCAATCTTTGTAAGCTTTTCAAAAACAACGTGCAAAGAAAATTAAAATAAAATTGATTACTGTACGTTGATCTCTATTCAGCATTTCAATATTAGATAAATATGTTTAGATTTATTTAATCTAATTAAATTAATATTGATACACAGTATAATATTTGCGCGAATATAATGTTGACAAAAACAACAACAACAACAACAACAATAAACAATTGAAAATCTTCGAGAACTTGACCATTTAATTATTCAACTTATAGTTATTGAATTGTATCTGATGTATATCGGTTAATATAAATTTTTGCATCACTTCCGCCAACTGATCTTGGACGATGCAGCATTATTGGTGTTGATGCATCAGACATATCAGGATTTGGGCTTCGTCTACATGACACGTTCTGACTTGTAAATCGATGAACATTATCTTTTGGTGAAGATAATTTCGTTGAAATCTGTGCTGAAGCCGATGATTCAGTTGATCGACACAAAATAACATTGGTAAATGCACGTCGAAATACATCACTGAATATTGTATATATGAATGGATTAGCCATGGACGAGCTATAACCAAGCCATGTTATTGAAAACCAAACAGTTGATGATAAACGCTCACGGCACTGTTCACATATAGCCGATATAAATGTACAAATAAAAAATGGCGTCCACAATGTAATAAATACGCCAAATATAATCATTAAAACTCTTAGAGCTTTTCGTTCATTAGCTGCAACATAGTCTTCATCACGCGCACGTTGTTGGTGAAAAGCCGCTAAACGTAATCTCGTAGGAAGATGAAGCATCATGCTTGAAGAATCAGATGAATTTGTATTTGTTATTGAGCTTACTGTTTGATGTGGTTGTCGTGTTTTACATGAATTTGGGATAATATGTGCTGACCGATATCGATCTTGTTGACGTCGTACTGGTTTATGGTAATGTTTAAATGTATGGCTGTCATAACGGCATGTTGTATGTAAAAGGCTAGATGATGATGTTGATGTACGTGAACCATGTTCAATTACTGAAGACGGTTCTTGTTCAGATTCTTTTCGAGAAAAACAATTAGATAAATATGATTGTCGTATCAAATGTGATGATGATATTGCAGATGAACGTTGGTCCGACGAAGATGAAGATTTTGATGAACTATCAATTGAACGTGTTGGTGCTGTTGACAAATGACGAAATGAATTTGTTCGGAAAGATGACGATGATGCGGCGGGCTTATTAAATTGAAATTTTCGTCTTTTAGGTGAATTATGCACACAATGTTCATCAACATTATTGGAATGGACATTTCGATAGCCTAATGCCGACAAAGTAGTTGTTTGTGTTGAAACTGATCGTTGCAATTTTAAGAGTGTTAAATCAATTGATGAGATTGACGTTGATTGGTGTACTTTAAATGACTTCTCATTTATATTTGATGAATATTCAATAGATAAAGGATTTAATCGACAATGAAAATAGAATATATAATATTGAAGAATAGATTGAATTATTTTAAAACAATATATCCATGGAATTCTCAAAAATATTGGCTCCTTCGAATGAGACAGAGCAAAATTTTGGAATGATGATAAAGTTAATTGCATGTGGCCACATTCGTGTATGTCAACTAAAATTTAAAGCAAAATATGAAGGAATTAAAATTGATTCAATATCACATACTTGATTGAAGCAGATTTTTCTTTCTCAGCTACAAATCAAACTTTTTTTTCAGGTCATAAAATATTTTGAGTATTACGTTTGAAAGGAAATGATATATAGTCATAGATTATTGAAGTGTTTGGTTAGAGATCTTACATGAGTTTCTGATATACTAGGTGAAGCTTTATTCTATCGTTTCGAATATGATCACAATTTGTTGAGAAGTAAATTATTTTATTTACATTTGAAATCAACAACTGTTACGAATCTTCATTCCTCTATTTCTACACTTGCTAAGAGTGATTCAATGGTCATGTAGTCATGAAAAACAATAGAATTGGTTACAGTATATTACAGATTACAGGAAGAATCATAATCAGAAAATTCTTTTTTTGTCTCTTCTAAATACTTGAAATGAAAAACATACGATGTAGTTTTCTGTCTTTTAGATGATAAACTAAAAAAAGTTTTGAATAGTATTTTTAACTGACTGAATTTGAGCATGAAGATATTGTTTAATTAATTTTCAGCAATATTCAATAGACTAATCAAGAGAAAGAGAGATATGTTTCTAATTTCGTAGATAAAAAGAAATAATTTTATGTTGTAGATTAAAATTCTATTAGATTTGAAAACGTTTTTCGTGAATCCAAATTCTTTTTAGACAGCAATATATGATAACGATTTTTTCTATGTTAGAAACTTACTTTTCCTAGAAGTATCTATCATTGGAGTCAGTTCTTCTTCTTCAAATAGAGATATATCATTAATAGTTGATGTTCGTCGATCCGAGATTTCTGTTTGTTTGATTCTATCTCCTATTGCCAGTACTTGATGTTTATTCTTAACAGTTGGCATTCGAGCAAGATTATTATTATTATTTATAATAACTGATCCGTCATTTGAACTTGATGTTGATTTAGAATATTCGATTGCCTCATACAGAGTACTCATATCTATATCATTGTCTTTTCTATGAACTGTTGTATTTATTGAGAATGGTTGTTGTTGATAAGATCGAGTTTTACTTCCATTTAATATTGAACAACTAGTGGTTAAACGTTGTGAATTATGATGCACAAGTTCATGATTAAAAGTTGTTTCATTAATAACATCCTTTGAATTATTATCTTGATGTAAATTTACATTTGTATTATTTGGAGAAAATAATGATGTACGTGAATCTGATGGTGACGCTGTTCTTTTTATTGCATTTAGTGCTTTATTTAAAATCGAATTTTTATTTTTATTTTTATTCGTCGTTGCTGTTATTATGACTGCTTTGGGTATAGTTTGGTTATTAGTTAATGATGCACGTCGAAGACTTTCAGCTATTTCAACATATTGATTTACAACCGGTGCTAATGGTCGAAACGTTTGTTTTTGTCGTCTCTCACGATCATATTTCTCTTTACTAACTAATACATTTCTTAATGATCGCATTGTTAATGCATATGTTGTTATCATTATTATAAATGGAATGTAAAATGCAAAAATTGAACCATAAATTTTAAATGATGAATTATTTGGCGCGCATACACCATCTGATAAAACATTTTTCTTATTAATAATTCCTAATATAAATACAGGTGATGATACAGCTACACTCACAGCCCAAACGACAATTATTTTCAAAAACATGACGCGACGAGTTTTATTTCGTCCATAACGAAATGGGAAACGAATTGTAAAATATCGATCCATGGACATCGTACTCATATGCCATATAGATGATGTACAACATAATACATCCATAGTAGCAAATATAACACATGCATAATGTGGTAATGGGAAATGACCAATCACTTCGGAAATCATCCCTGTAGGCATGACTAGAATGGCAACAAGGCAATCTGCAATCGCTAATGACATGAGAAAATAATTTGTTGTATTCTGTAATTTTCGTTCACGGGCTATGGCTAAACAAACTAGAAGATTTCCAGCGGCCGTGACAAAAATGACTAAAATATATAAAAAAAATAGTGTAATTTATGTCACTGATGTGATGTTGTATTAAGCCTATTTCAGATTATTTTAAAGTGTGCTCGTAAAATAAATCATATCGCTCTTTCATTTCCTAATAGGATTATGCGAGCATCTAGACATTTTGTTTCCTAGATCAGAATTTTGTTGACATGCCATCAACAAAGAAAAATGAGAAAGATAGTGTCGAAAATATTACACTTACTAATAACTAGTAGAAAACGATACCACATTATTTGTACGAATGTTTGATAAGTTTCGATATTTGGTGTCGTCGAATTTTCCTCGCTAATTATTCATATAGTAGTTGATGCGACAGTGAAAGGTTTCTAATATAAAAATATATTTAAATATGAATCGACAATAAAAGTATGAACATGAGAAGAATTGAAATGTCGAGAAACAAAGGTATTTCTTTCGTTTGAAATTTCAATAGAAGAAAAGGAAACTTCATATTATCTACATGATCGAACATTGGTTGTAGGCATCTTCTCTTTTTTATTTTGGTCTTCATCATAGAGACTAATAATAGCCGAGACGATAACGTTCTCGTTTGTTGTCGCTCTTGTTTTTCTTCTTCAGCCCCTTTCGCTCATTCCACTTGTCTGAACTTTTTAAATATCTTACTTAGATAATTTCATAAAAACACTACAAATGTAATAGATCAATAGAAAAATTTCCAAATTTTTGAAATGATAATAATACAAAAACAAGAACCAAATGTCACTTTAAGTGTTAGCATAACATATAAATACTATTATGAAATGCATACTTTCTGACAGATTACACAATATCACTTTGAACAGAGGATGATACTTTTTAGCTCCATAAATCAACGTAGTAATGGTTTGACAGTTTTATTTTATAGTTTATGCCGGTTTGACTCAACATAATTCTTTATTTCATTTTAATACTGTTTTGGTTTTCTTATGCTACTTTTTATTATTATAAGATTTCAAACGAGAATATTTTAGGAATTTCAAAAATACTTACGGTGTATAAAAGATAAACAGTTGTTAATGATGATGGTGATGATGTGTTACTGGGATACAACATTGTTTTTTTCTCAATAGGAACTTGAATCTAAATAAATAAGAACAACTCTGATGATAGAAATTAATTAAAAAGAGCAGGATCAGAAAATTTCTCCGTTTAATTTATAACTAGACTAAAGATACTAGAGTGCTCATTCTATGACATCTAAAATTGGTTATATAAAAGCAAGAAATTTTACTGAGAAACCTCTCTTCTATCTTGAAATTTGTTTTTAATAAACATTGTTGTCAGGTTAATAATGAAAGAAATTTGTATACCATAAAACTTTAACTAGATAAAAATCAGTTTTCTTCCTTTTTTTGTGAATTCCTAACTGATAATTTCACGAAGTAAACAGCTCAATGCTTGAAAGATATGCTCGCGATGTATTGCAAAGAGAAAAAACGTTAATTAGAAAAATAAAACTTACTGACGTATTCTATATATATATATCTATGTCTTAGAAAGAAAGATGCCACTTTTTTTCTAAATAAAAAATACGAATAAACTTAAATATAATTCTTCATCCATTTACTTTAATCTTTATCATTTGTTATTGTTTTTTAAAGTGTTCCTTTCTTTTTCTATGATGATAGACATAATTATCGACTGCTACATAATAAAAACCTTAGGAATAGTTGAAAAGAAAATATTATGCCAGTAGGAATGAAAAAAAACACATTCTACATGATAGAAGTCATAGAATTTCAATAATACGCTTGTCTTCTGTGTCTCTTTAAACAAATATATTTGTCTGTACAGCATTACCAGTATGGTTAATAAAAAAAAACCCTTTCGATAGCTAGAAAGTAAAAGAAAATTAATTGTAAATGTCAAGTATATCACGAATAAATACTTTTCACTAATATGTCATGAATAATTGTGAATACGTCAGAGCATAAAAATCTTTAGAAAATATTAGCTGTACATAATAAGTAATATATAATAGAGAAAAATCGAGAAATAGATAAGTCAGGCGTATGAAAAGCTTCTTGAGCTTTTGTAATGAAAATAATTGAATTTAATCTTGAAAACTAATCTATCCAAGTATTGAAACGTATATTCTATAGAATTTTGTAATTACTAAAGATCAAATCAGATAAATCTTGATGAACAAACGCACTATATTCATAATTTTAAGTATAATTATAGGCATGTGTATCTTCTATTTAGAAAAAGAACTAGTAAACTTATTCTATGTTATTATTGATATGCATATCTAAACATATATACAGATAAGTTCAGAAATTTGAGTTCATTATAATCGCAAGCACACGCTTTACTATCGATTGTGTATCCCATGAAACATCTAAACTTTCAATTAAGATAATGATAGATTAGAAATATAGATGAAGAAAAATAATCTTTGTATTGAAAATCGGTGGATACAACAAGAACAAATGGCAATGCTTAGCGCAATAGAAAATCTAAACAGTGAACTCTGTTGTACTCGTAAGTTACCAAGATGAGTACAAATAATGTTTTTTTATGCTACATTATTCTGATTTACTTTTATTTAATACGTTTCCTAAGAACTAAATGCACTTGTCATACTCTATTTCTATGTTCGTGGTGTATACCATTTTGAATATGAACACAATTTCCGTTTCATCAATAAAATCAGGCTTACTACATAATCAATTATCAATAGGTACACACATATTACGCTTGCATGATATCTTCTCGATCTTCTTATGGATCTGGCAAAGTTGACTACTAGTGATAGATAATACTTTCAGTAACAATATAGGAAATAATAATATTAAAGGCTAATTTTTATCTTTCTATATTATTTTCCTTGTAGAAATATTTTAATTCAATATATTTTCATTGAATATAATAAAATGTGAAGCTTTGAAATCGAATCATTTTGAAAAATCTTTATTAACACCCGATGCATACTAACTAGCTCATTTAAATGCATTGCATTAAGTCGGAACACTCATTTTGTAAATTATACTCATTTGAGAATTCAGGATAAATTGCTTGTTCAAAAGCAAAATCTAATGTTTTTTTTTATTGTTTAGCTCTATTTAAAGTATTGATTGCGGTTTGACTTTGAACTAAAAACAAATATTCACTGATAAAGTATCGTGATGACAGATTTCAGAATAGATACGAATTCGAATTAGTCTACTCAAAACGAATGAATGAATAATAATACAAAAAAATTGTACTATCTGCTTTAGTTAAATAATCAAAATTTATCTAGGTCATTATGTTTATGATACCGGCTTGTTGGTTCGACCTTGAAATCATTTTTATAAAGATAATTTTAGAAGATTGTTGTTTTATACGATGTATTTTCATCTTATGACAAAAGTTATAGCTGTTCTTCATATTTTAATTGAATGAAAAACTGTGATTAATTTCTTAGTTAAACATATGTCTAATCTAAGATCAATCTTTTCTAATCAAATATTCATTAGAGAAAAACGCATATTGAATTAAAAGATCCTTTACAATGTATGTAATGTCATAATACCGATAGAGAAATACAAGATCACTATGAATTTTATATATGCATGAGTATATGAATAAGTTTATTTTGCTTGAAAACTTAAACGTTTTTTTCTTTCTCTAGCAGAATCGTGTAGATACGATTGTAAAAAAAAAAAGGTCAATTAATTTGATAGCGAAGAGGTTAAATTCTTAATTCCATATATTGTTAACTTCTAAATAGATAATAAGACACATTCAATAGTTCTATTGCTTATCTTATGAATTAGTCGTGAAAATTGCTTATATTTCAAAGTCATTTTTCATAGTTTGGAAAGATGTTTTGCATATAATTAGACAAAAAAAAAGATCCGTAATATAGTTTGAAATAACTAAGAATCATTTTTCATTTATTCATAGTTTCTATCTCTTAAAAGAAAGTATTTATGGCCTTCTGTCTATTTTAAGAATTCGATTCATTGTGAAAAAAAAGATAAAGGTAAACTTGATTAATATTTAAAATTTTTAAATGTTAATTTTTTCATTATAATCATGCTTGGAATCATTACAAACCTTATTTGATTATTGTAGAAGTATTTAAAATAAACTAGCGTTATCTTCAATGCCTATTGAAAAAGAAATTTTTACAATTTGCTGCGCACCTGTTTCGCTTAATCGTTGATTGGCCACCTGTTCTTGTTATACCTGTTGAAAGACAAAACTTACCAAGTACGTATTGGTTAATGAAACAAACAACTGAATATTTTTATCATCACAAAAAATATGAAAAAACAAATTTTTTTCTGCAAAAACTTTTAAGTTTTATTGAAATGAAATTCGACCAAAATTTTTTAATGTTCAATTTGCAAAAATCGCTTATTTAAATGTCACGATCTCAAAATATAAATGAAAATGATATTATTAATGGGAATGAAATAATGCAAAATTTCATTCAAAAAACTGAAACATATAATCATTCTATGTGCCTTGATAATTCATCAATGTCAATGAATACAAAGTCAAAAGCTCATTTTAACGATGTGACCGAGCAAATACTATTTTGTCAAAATGGAATTGATAATTTAAATATGTCATCAAACAAGACTAGTTCGACATTTGTAAGTCAAAGTTAAAGTAAGCAATTTTACTCTAGAAATATCTATCATCAACTATAATAGTTCTTAAAAGATGTCAAAGAAGTGTTACTAGATTCATTTTAATTTACAACCATATGAGAATTATTTCTCGAATGATCTGACAAAAATATTTCTTTTTAACTTCAAAAATCTAATGTAATGCTTTTATTGTCTTCATATGAATTTGGATCAATCGTGAGCTTTGAGACAGAGTAAATGTAAAAAAAAACGATTATCTCATAACGAAATGTGATTGAATCAATCGAACGAATATATTCAAATATTTGGAGAATAAAATAACTTTGAAAGACTTATTTATTAATTTGTATGATTTTTGGTTAAAACTCTTTGATAGTTTTGAAATTGAATTCAATTATTTGCGCATTGTTTGTTTTATGAACGTATCTTTATTTAAAATTGTTCATTGAATTGATAGTTCTATTGGGGATATGACTTACTACGTAGAGTGTTTTAGACACATAATAAAAATATTTGAAGTTGATATATTTTTATGTGTAATTTAAATATTATTCTTCCTTGATGTAACTCGTCAAGTAAAATGAGCGATATTCAGTCAAAATGAAAATATTTATATCTTTTTGAAAAAGAAAACTTGACGTTATAGATAGAAGTATCTATCCGATTAAAAATTAATCTCCGTGATAAAGTTTCAGTATAATAAAAATTAAGATTTCTTATGAAAGTACAAAAAAGGATTAATAGAAAATGTTTTATTTAGTTACTCTTCTCTTTTTAAATTTTTTTTTCAATCTGGAGTTTATAATTAGTAGTAGTTGAGTTAATTATAAATACTTCCAATGTTTTATGTATCAATCTATATAACAAGTACAATGGAGATTGACGCCGATCGTCGATATGATTGAAAAGAAAATGTGAATATATTCTCTTTTTAGAATAAAGAGTCTTCTGAAGAAGTTAAACCAATAGATGAAGTATTAATGGTTGATATTATTTCAAATGGATACAAATATGAGGATACATCATTTGAACTTAATATTGTACAGCCGTGCTATGTTGTTTCAATTATTTCCCCATATGCATTTACAATTCAATTACAACGAGATTTAATTGAATCCGATAAATTTTTTAAAAACATGAAGTATTTTCTTTTTAATATTGTTACTGAATTATTTTATTTCATTGTTTCCTGTCTAGTGATTATTATAATTCAATTTATGATCTTCAATTAACTCAAGAATATTTACGTAAAAATCTACTTTGTGTAACATATGATGAAATAACGTTGACATGGAATCGATCTCAAATAATGGAATATGATTTGAATCAAGATACGGTTAATGTTTTTTTTGTTGATCTAAATTCTTGGGAAGAAAATGTTTCACGTTCACGTATACGTTTCATACTAACAAAATATTCATCTCGACCAGTTCATTTACTAACATGTCGTTTAGCAACTATTGCTTCATTAAATGATGATACTGAATGGAATGATGTTGTATTAAGAACTTTTCAAAATCTTGTTCATAATTGTCAATGTGATGTTGAACCATTATATAAAAGATGTGATAATACTTTCTATGTAAATTTATTTGCACAACATGATGAAGTTTATGTTTGTATTAATGACTTTTTAATACATTGTAAAATGGCTAGACCTATTGATGATATTACTAATGATGATAATACTGTAAGTAGCAATCAATTTAAATTTACAAAAAGAATTTCAAGAGTATTTTTTTTGTTTCCTTAGACTACGTTTATGCTAGACGATGATGGGCAACCAATGCATTCAATTATAGCACTTTATTGGAAGGCTGGAGAGTAATTTTTGTATTTAAAAATTGTGTTTTTTTCTTAAATATTTTTTCTTATTATTAGAACAGCTTCAGAAAAAGATACTTCTATCAAAAGTCAAGACGATCAACATCGTTCGGAAGCATCTACAGAACCATTTCAAACAAAATCTTCATTTCTAACAAAACTAGTTCTAATAGATGAGAAAAATAAAATAATTTTTGCACGATACAATTCATATATAATGGTACCATGGTTTATTTTATCCGATATCCTAAAAGAATTAGATGAAGAAAAAATAAAAATTCTTGTAAATTTTATTCAAAACTTCTATGAAAACCAATTGTTGTTTCTTTTTCTTTTTTAAGGCGAATACATTTGGTTTTAAGCCAAGTATTATCAATCCTCTTAAGCATGTATTGCTTTGTTCGCAATTGTTAAAATTAGCATCGTCTGCATCAATATCAAGTGAAATTAGTTTATATTCAATCGATTGTGTTAGAAAAATTTTAAAAGCATGCCACTATACACAAGCGGCTACGTTTGATTTATTAGATCGAGCACGTTTAGCTGAAGCCAGTAACGATATGACTTTTTGGGATCAATCGTTTGAGGTAAAACCACATTAAAATATTTACGATTAACATATTACATAAGTTTTACATTATTTAGGGTTGATCAATCAATATAACAAACAAATATATTACTATGGATAAATAGTAAATATTAAAGGATATAGAAAAGAATATGGATGCATAGGCTTTATATATTAAATTACTGTTGATACAGACAAGATTTAGTTAGCTTCGAAAAAAATAAAAAATAAATGTTTTACTCCGTGTTATGTATAAAATACCACCATTAGTTTTAAATTATCTCATTTCATATCGACTATCCGTATTGATTAAGAAGAATCACATAATGATTCTAAATATCTATAAGAAGCAATATGACAAGACACTTACTCGCATATCATTATCGTCAAACTTGAGAATGACCACAAAAATTTGACGAATATAGATTCTTTTTAACTTAAAAATTTCTTTAATGAGAAATATGCTATTAATAATTTGACATTTTCAATAAATAAACTTTCATTTCTTATAAAGACTATTTCCATCAATCATACTGTCCAAGAAACAATTGACACTATCTACAAATATACACCAAAAATGCATTGCAGAGCCAATGATAGAACACAATAATATTTCGAAATTACTACTAATAAAGTAATCCGATTAAAATCATTTCTTGAAAGCTTTGTAGAAAAAAAAACATGAAATATCATTGAATGCTCACAAGTGAATCAGTTTGACATAATGGCACTGTCAGTATATAATCAAGTGTATGATGAATTATCATTCAAAATCGATCGATACTTTTTTTTATTCAACCATTAATCACTCTTATGATTTTATTTTTAGAACTACACTCGATATAAATTTATCTAATTCGCAGCAAGATAGATTACTATCAATTCAATAATGAACTTGGCTTTTGTTAATATAATGGTCATTTATCCATTTTATTCAAGATAAAATTATTGAAAACTTGATGTTTAGCAAAATTGTTCATATTGTAAATTTAAGATGAGATTTCTTTTTATTTTAAAATTTTTTAATATATTACTCTCAAAGTATTTTACACAGATCTTAAGTGTTGTTCTTCTAAAATCTCCAATAAAAGTCTTCTTGCTTCTAAAAAATAAAGAACTATTATATATCTAATTGTGATAAAAATAATGAATTGAATTTTCGATCGAAATGATGATTCATACTGGATAGATGAATACAAATTACTAATCTCTTTTATTATCAGTTATTCTAAAAAACAAATCACCGAAATGAAACCACTAAAGAATATACTTGATGTTGTTGCAAACAATGATTTCTTTCTATGGATGAAATGTTTCAATGAGAGAGAAAAGATGAGAATATGAGCTGGTATTCAATGAGTAAATAAGTTCCACAATTGTTCGAATATCCGCAAATTCTCTTGATGCCATGTATGTACCCGTTTCGATAGAAACAACTCTAATATATCGTACAGATTTTGAAATATCTTAATCATCAAGCATGTATTGAATGTAATGTTCTTAGACATATTAGTATTCATGATTATTATTTAGGAAATAGTTTATAAATCAAGATTTTATTATTTGACCTCTGGAAAAAATCTCTTATTAGTGACTCGAATTCTAATAAAGTCATTTTAATATCATCCAAAAGAAAAGGTCGAATTTAAAAGTCATTTGCGGACATTTTTCTGATTTCATTCTCTTGAAAGTATCAAGTCATTAAGCCCAAAAGAGATCGATATTTATTTAATAAGAGCCTATTTTTTTTAGCTTTATTTATCGAATCAAGAAAAACTCTTAGTTCATGACATATACTCACGATTGCTGGACTCCTCATTAACAATATACAACCATTATGTATCAATTCAATATAATCTCAAGATATAAATTTTTTATTTTTAAATTTAATTAATTTAAAAATTTTTCTCATTAGAAAGAATCATCAATCTATTCATTAATATTTCTCTATTCTATTTTTGTTAATTGTACACATAAAATAAGAAAACAAACAAACAACGATAGTTATATTATTTACATAATCGTAATATGTCTTATTTTTTAGAAGGATTAGGAGTTGGAATGGCTCGTTTGAATAATGGTCGTTTTCCCGATGGTGTCGTCTATTAAATATAAAACGAAAAGACAATATTATTTGACAATCAACGAATAACTTTATCGTACCACCATAGAAGACTTCAAACCCATAGATATATTTTCTATTGCTAAACTATTTGTAGAAGTATTTTCCGTTGTGTTTACAATTTGATCGATAAGACGACGTTGTTTAACAGGTGTAACTATTGTTGATGGTGTTGCATCCATATTAATACGTTTTGTTGTTTGTACTTGTTTTTGTTGAGTTCGCGTTTTCATTGTTGAACTATTTAATGGCGTTTTACCTGTAGGTAAGTGTGGAATACCGACACGACGAGATGTTGCTAATGGTGTACGAATATTTGCACTTTGATCAGACTAAGCAAAAATATTTTGTATGTGCTAAATGATTGAAAAGCTAAACTATTTTTCTCTTACGCGTTTCAAAAGAGCACCTGGCGTTGTACCAGTGATTTGTTTTGTTTTTAATGGTGTTCGTTGAACGATTGTGCCTGCGGATGTTTGATGTGCAGCCTAAAAAAAGTTGAATGAAAAGCATAGATTCTGAGTCAAAATTTCACAAAAAAATGTGTTAATTCACATTTATACGCCATAGGAATGGATATCATTGGTAATCTGTTCTACAATTTTAATCTTGACACGACTGCACAAAGCGGAGGAAATAAACATGATTCGATATGAAATTTTAAGGGATAAATAATTTGGATTTCTTACACGCAATGAAGATCCATTTATTAGCTATTATTAGAAAAATAAGCAGTAAAAACGAGAAGAACTATGTATTTGACATTGTTTTGTTTTCTAAGTGATGAATTATTTTATTCCAGAAATATTCAAGAAGAATTTTCTATTTTATGTAAATATTTATCATTGATTCATTCGACTGCAATTCAAAGAAAAGGAAATTCATGAATTTCATTCAATTATCACAAATTTTGAATAATCTCAAAATAGGCCATGACAATAATATTTCTCTTCTGTTGATTTAGACAATTCCATGTAGGCTTTTGGTTAAATCTTAGAATTTCGTTGGCTTCCAAGTAATTCAGATCTTAAAGATTTCATCTTTATTATAGACTAATGATACAAGATAATTAGATTTGACGACGAGAATAGTTTTAGAGGCTGGAAATTGTTTTGCTTAGCAATTTTGAAAACGTATAGAACATTAATACTCATAAGATATCTAACATGTGTTTTACTCCTCAATAATTCGCTTTTTTCTAGAGATTTCTCATATGTTGTAAATGTACTTTCGCTATAAAACTATTCGTATTTCTAATTAAACTATCTATGAGAATAAATATTTATCAATGATATTATTTTTCTTTAATTTTCAATGTCATTTGTATAAAGATGACAAATCATCGCTCATTTGTGAAATAATAATGCTCAAGGTCTATAGTATATGAACGATAGTATCTCTTTTGCATGATTTATTTATTTAGTTAATTGATGTGCATATTCTTGTTACTCATTGAGATTACAATCTCTTGAATTAATTCAAAACAAAAATATCCTTCGTATCTTACCTTTGATGCTTCTCGTTCTCGTTCTTTTGCTTTGACATAATCATCTTTTCTTTGTGCAATATAATCTACAATTTCTTTACCATTAGCACTCATTATAAATGGTTGCCCATTATTTTTTTCTATAAATTCATTGGCAAGTTTGCGAAGAAGTAATTCACATTCTCGTAATGATGCTTCTAACTTTTTACGAGTTCTTTCTTCTGCAAGAGCACTATAACCTCGCCGATGAAAACGCTGTGGATCACTTGCATTTTTCTAATAGAAATACTTATCCGAATAAAATAATAGAACAAAAAAAAACAGGTTCACCTCATATTCTTGAAATTCAAGAAACAGTTCGTTCCAAGTTTCAATTTGTTCATACATCGATCTGTTAACTTCATATTGAGCTTCTAATTCTTGTACAAGTTCTTCATGCATGAAATATACATCTTCTGTAAAATCATCTAGAATAATTAAAAAGCAATCTTTTGATTTACAATATAAATAATATCGATAGTTACTAGTAAATAGAATTGCATATTTCGAATTATTAGTTATATCACCAACTGAAAGTTTATTAAGTATAACATGAATTCGTTCACGTGCTTTTAATATATCATTTGTTAATTTTTCCATTGCATGTTCTGTATATCGATCAACTTCTGAGATAAGCTGAATCAAAAATCTACCTATATTGTAGTGCACATAATGTTCAAAAACTTACATCAGGTAATTTTGAGATTCGACATTGTTTAGTAGTTGTTACGGCTACAGCTTTTGCATTTGGAATTAATGACTGGTGTTTTCTCATTAAGGTTAATAATTTCTTATGTGATTGTTCAAAACAAGCTTCAGCTTTTTGAACTTGCGCAGTGATCTATATAGAAATTTTCATTGAAAAATTTTCTATATAAATAAAAAAAAAGATTCTTACTTCAGTGAATTCTTTATCAACAAGTTCTAAAGCTTCTTTTGTTAATGTATACTGATCAATTTGAATTAGGCCGAGTGCTAATAATCGTCCAACCATAGTTTCAATTGATGGTCTTTTCCATCCATAAATCTCTTCATATTCATGTAATATTCGAATTATTTCAGATAGATGATTAGTACGTTTTGTCTAAAAGAAATATTTAGAAAAAATTAAACATCAAAACAAAAAAAAATCGAAATTCCAATACTTTTTCTTCACGTAATTCAGTAATATGTTCTGATAAGAGACTTATTTGTGTTACTAATTGTTTGGAATTAAAATTTGAATTATCTATTTGTAATGTGCGTTCATTTAATTCATTACATAATTGTCTCTCTTCTCGACGAATATCTGGTTCACGTTGAAGTAATTTTTCATGTTCTTCTTTTAATTTTCTATGTTCATCAACATACATACGCAAAGCATGAAGAACAGGTAAAGTATTGCCATATTGTGGACATGTTTTATCTGGATGTAATTCATGATAGAGTGATTCAAAACGTGCACGGATGGGTACAAGTTCGGCAAGTTTACGTTCAAGTAAAGCATCATCTTCAGCTATCATTTCTGTAACCATTTTCTAAAGAAATTTTATTTTAACCTACATAAAAAACTCTTCATTTTAAATTCTTACTTGAAGTTCACGTTTAGCTTCTTCAATAAAAGGACTTGGATCATCACCGGCATCATGACACATTTTAGTAATAGATGGAATATTTTGAGAATAAACTTCGTTGACAATATCACCCGGCGCTCGCATTAGGGATTGTGACATTATGGAGAATTTGAATAATTTATAAAGGTATGATTTTAGTAAGAGATCAAAACAAGCAAAAGAAAAATTTGATTTTGATCGAACTCGAATCGAGCAAACTACTGTAATATATAGATATTTTTCATTGGCTGATCAAACAAAGAGCCTAGCATATACTAAATATATTGAACATATTTCCTTTTTCTTCACTTTTTTCTTCAATATCTACTAAATCAAACTTCTTTGACCATGAAATATTTTTATTTTCTTGGAAAACCATAAACATTAGTCGATAGATGACGCTCTGTGTAGAAATTTGCTTTTTAGCATCTCGGATATATGCTAATAAATCTTACATCAGGTTCCTTATGCAATGCGTGCCCAAAAATAAAATAAATATGCAATTGCTACTTTGACTGAGACGAACAGCATCATGATGATAATGTCAATTCATTTCCCAGGAGAATGATTCGGATAGTAGGATTCTATCGGATTCGTGTCGGGATCTTATCGGATATAGTATGGATTTCATTAAACCGACGAAATCCTATCGGTATCCGGGTGTGGAACCGACAATCGGAACTCTAGTGTTGGAATACAACATAAGCATTCGACCCATGTGTTCTGTTGCCACCTTATGGTTATTCATTGGTGATTAACAAAATGCTTTTTTCCGTCGGATCCGTTAGTAGAACCGTGACCAGAAATCTGATCGGATTTTGTCGGCTTGTCAGATCCCATGAGATCCGATAGGATTCACTGTCGCCCAAGTCGATCATCCTGAGCCGTAAGCGGCCGTACACCTATCACTCACGATAAAAAATGGCGGCCGTGTTGAGGGTGTTGGTGGGTGGGTGTTGGTGTGCGTGCTGGTTGTGAGTATAGCTACAGAAAATACTAACACCCATACCGAGACCCACACCCACACCCATCACGAGCTGAAATAATTTTGCGATCAGCAAATGGCGACGATATTCGAACAAGTTCGAAGTTGGGTATCGATATTTTATTAACGTTACTGGCAAGAAGAGTTCACTATCAACACAGTGCACCATATGCCAACCTTAATTTATCCCGGATGGTTGAAAATCTAACTGTAGATATTAGATCTCATTTGGATGAACTTCTTTGGTTGGAAAGATACAGAATTCACGCATTGGAAAATAAAGAACTCATTCTGGTCAATCGAAAATCATCATCTATTTCTTATATAGCTTCTTATTTTCCAAATGATATTACGATAGATGTGCCTTTCTGTGATTGCGTGTGTAGAGTGTCGAACGATTTCGTACATTATATGTGCAAGCTAATCACATCTATTTTTCTCGTTCTTGAAGATTGATGGTGATACAACATCGAATGAAGTTTTGGAAAGTAATGCTGAATTTATTGTTTTAGTACTTGTGTATTTAATTTCTCGCATTAAATATAACGCTGAAACTCAACGATTGATAGTCCATACACTGATGACATTGCACGAAACGTCAAGGAATAGTGAAATATGTCGAATGGCAGCTTTTGTGCTCGGCTATATTTGTGACAAAAACACATATAAAATTCTATTTCAGAAACTTCAGATGACGGTAAATAACGACTTAAATAATACTTTAGAGAAGTCTGGCTATTCTCTTATCGCATTGATTTCAAGTTATTCTCATTGTTTATCTATTAACAATCTCCGATTTGATCAAGATGACATGAATCTCTTCGTGTTGCTCAAGGGTGTGGGTGTGGGGTGTGGGTGCTAGTACATGATGCACCCATACACTTACACCCACACCCACATCCTGATTCTGGCGAAGAACAAATAGATGAGTGTTACATTTAATACAATACAACATATTATAATTGCAAATATTGAGCCTTTTTCTATTTCATTTGATTTCATACGAAAGAAAGAGATATTAAACCTCAAATCATTCCACATTAATCGCTACAATCAAATCTTGATATTTAAACAAGTACCATTGTATTTCCATCCGATATCGGCAAGAAGACCAATTAAGTCGATTACATTAGTGTTAATGAATGTAGCCAAATTCATGCTCGACTATAAATATAGACTGAACAACATCGATAAGATATATCCGATAATATCCTTAAGCATATGAGTATATAAACAGAATAACTAGAATCATCATGTTTTATTTACACTTGAATCACCCTTACATCAATCTCAGCAAGTCGAACAGAATAAGATCTAGTACGTTACTTGTTCATTCGTCCAAGTTCTTCGGGGCGAAGCCACTTTTATAAACTCTATTCAATCTTAACCGCATATCCTTGTCCGACTATTTGTATTAGTTCATATATCACAATCGATCTCTCTGATATAACTTTCTAATTTTAGACTTTGAAACAAATAAGTCAAAGACCATATTCATCCAACGATTTCATATGGCTGTTATAGTAACTATCAAACTTGAGTTTCTCATCAGGCAAAGACCAGATGTACAACTGTTCAATAACATAACATTCTTTATTTTATTTGTTACACACGTGTATGTGTGTGTATTTAAATTTCTCAACAAGATAGAATATTAAAATACAGAAAAACTTTTATAGGTTAAACGAGATAAGACAGATTTCGATTGATTGAAACTTAGTCGTTATATAAAAAACTAAATAGTTCAAGAAAGAAATTCTATCTTGAAACGAGCATATATGAACGCACTAGAGTCACTACACATTTTCTTCACAATCTTTACGTATAAAATATTACTATCTTAGAAGACAATTTTTGAAAAATCTTTTGATTAAGTTCAATATGAAGTCGTGTTAATTGTAAGAGCTTTTATTTCAATAGATTGAATAATGAACGCTGTTAGCTTTTAATTTTATTCTTAAAATTATAGGTGTTGTAAAACTGTGTGCTATTGTATGAGATAACTAACACAAAAAAAAACATAACAGGTGTTTTTGAAAAAGATCTAAGTATTGTCATGCCACGAATTTGTTTACATAGAATTGTCTGCAAGAAACAGTGTCCAAATTTTTAAATTGCCAACTCAATGTTTATTTTAGTTTAAAAGAAAAATATTATTTGTTAATTTTTTTCTTAGAATATTTCTATAATTTTATTAGTTCTTAATTTGTTAATCTTTGATGGAACAAATAAAATATTTAATGTCGAAATAGCACGTTTATTTTATTTGGATTGCCAATGATATTGATCTACTTTTGGTATGCGTGCATAGTAATACTAAAGTAGAGCAGCGTAACCAGGAGAGGGGCAAATAAGCACTTGCCCATGTCGTTTGAAAATTTGCCCATTGTAATTCTACTTTTTCAAAATTGTTTATTTATTTTTGAATTAGATGGTAACTGTATTTTTCTTCCGTTTTAATCCTGCACGTACCTTTTGCTTGTTCTTGTTGTGATGAATTAAGAAAAGAAGGGTGTAGGTGCGAGTGTGATGAGCCTTTTCGTCAGATATATCCACATCTACACCCATCCACAAGAATCAACGCATTGAAGTAGAACTGTTTAAAATTAATTTAGTTTCTAACTATTTTCTTTTTCAGCAAAGGAAAAACTCATTTTTTCTCTTCATAATCTGATTCGACAGTTGAGGATTTTTCTCATGAGCGACGACATCTTATTCACTAATTGTTCGGTTTAGTGTCTTCTACATGATTGACACTAATTAGTTTAGTTTTAATGCTATGTAAAAGTTTGTTGTGATCGAGCGAAAATGCTTCACTACATTGCAACGAAACATGACCAGATAAACATAAAACTGCTGGAAAAATACAACTCATACAAAAATACCCTCCACGAAATCGATACGAAACAGTAATAGTCATTTCTTTGTTTATTTTGCTCTCAAATAATGTTTCACAATCGTTTACGGACTTGTTGTTCCAAATGGCCAATTTCATGAACTTCAATGGAATCTTTTCATTTTCTCGAATCCAACGTTTAAGTTCAGAAATAGTATCGGTGGGAGACACTTTATAGGTTTTAGTTTTTTTACCCTATTTTCAAGAATATTTGCATGCTTTTCATTTGTTTTGAACAGTTTTATTAACAAGAAATGAAGCACCAGTTGAACATTCTACAAGAAAAAATGTAATTACATGAATGTTTTCGTTTTAATACTTTTTATACGATAGTAAGCAAGCAAAAACACACTTTGTTGACCCTACATAGCTTGCATCGTGACACAAGAGGCAATGATATCTTGGTATACATTTATTACTGATAACAGTCTCAATAGCGAATAGTTTTATACGCTGAAGAGAATTTTCAAAACACAGGAAAAATACACTGAAAAGTATATATTTATTCCATTGGATGTGTATTTTTATTAGATTTGAATCATTTTCCTTTAATGGATAGATAGACTATGTATACAGGAACGAAGATGTCGTTATGAATATTAATAAAATCAGAAACCAACGGGCATTGAAATTCTGTACAGCGGGTGTAGGCGTGTCCTTTCGTTTCTTGCACCAGCATCTCACCCTCGTCAAATTTTGAAACTTGAATTGAATTTAACTTACAAGTTGAACGTTACTAACGTCAATGGCATTTTGATACGATGCTTCGGCAAATGTTAAACGAGTTAACTTCTTGAACACAGTGAAAATATGATTGATAATGTATTCCATTGTTGAATAATCCTTCAGATTCCGACCATTACCAATTGTAACTAGAAGCTTGGAAATCTGATTGTTAAAAAGACCAGATGAAAGATTTACATCTAGACATACAAATAATAATATCAACAAACAATAGTCATATTAATTTTAATCAGTCGACCACTTGTGTACTATACTATAACAATTAGATCTTGAGATTTTTCTTACCAGTGAAAAGACTTTTAATTGTTTCTTCTTCGATATTGAATAGACCCAATCCATGTAAATTGGGATAATGCGTAGCATGTAGAATTTGATTCATAGATGATGAGTCAATACGAAGCCATTGAATTTTCTCACGAACTGCTGGTAAAATTTGTAAACAAAATCGATCAAATATAATATCAGGAGAAAATATGTTGAGAAATTTCTTCGAAGACCATTTCAAGAAATTCAAATGATTTGTAAAAATTGGATCTTGTAGAATAGAATCGAATCGTTCATCGACACCGAATAAAGAATAGAGAATTTCAACATTGTTCATTTGTTTGAAAATAAAAATAAGAAGTTCATCAGGTAAATCTTTCAATTGAACATATGATCGATTCATTTTTATCTGCTTAACAATTGTGTCAATTCAATCGCTCAAGAGACAATATCAATATAAGTGCGCATGCTCCTTTGTTCGATTTAACTAATGCCGTCAATAGCAAAGAGAGCAATAAGACATTTGTTTTGAGGTGTAAGTTGTCAATGACTCAACCAATGTTGTTATCTCTATTTCTCTTTCCGTAATAGATCGTATGCACAATTTTCCATTTGTTCGTAATTGATGAACTACTTTCAGTTGTTTTTTTCTTCATATCTTTTCTAATATTTCGAAATAGAAAAGAATATTGCATGTAACAGAAAATGGACTTTATTCTTGTTTCCTTGTACAGCAACGTCTATTCTCGTCTATTATTGAAAATATCGAATACATAATTAACGTGTAAACACGTGTATTGAATATGAATTACTTTCCAGATGTTAGTCGCTCAAGCTGTTTATTCTTATAATAGGTTTTATAATATTCTTTCATGTCACACTAACTGATTTGTTTTATCATAAGTATCAATCAAAATTGATAGAAATAGCATTGTTTATGAGTGTTGTGTAACTGTTAGAGAATTGATTACGGAAGCATTAGTAATAAATAATCTTATTGATAAATAATGAGCACAACAGTACTTCAAATACATAATTTAGAACTTATGTTAATTTAATGTTTCAATTTGTTCAGATCATATTCATGTGAATACGGGCTATCTATCATTGTTAACTCTCGCAGGTGATGTATACAAAGACAAACATTCCAGAAATTGAGCTCATTTCCAAAAAATTAATTCAGATGAGTTTGTCTAACATGAACGATATATTCAATGAGAATATCAATGTGAAACTTTTGCAAATCATATAACGCCAATGAAAATAGCACAGTAATATATATATATATATATATATTAGTTTATGAAAGCCTAACTATTAATACTTTCAGCAAATATCCCTTCAATTGATCAATAATCATTTTTATATTTAATATAAAAATACTTCAATAAGTTAAAATCTTAAATGAAAAAGTAATTATCGATCATGATGACTCCGTTACTTTTCTGTTAAAAACAAACAGTGAATATTGAGAATCTATGAAATTACGGGCACAATATTATACAGAGTAATGTCTTCCGCAAATGAAATTATTTCATTGGTTTTCTTGTTTTTCAATACAACAATATAAAAACAAAATACATCAATACATGTCGTGGGCATATACTTTTCTTGAATCATTTTTTCGTTCAGACAATGACAAAAACATACAGAATGAAACTTTACACATTCAGTAGAAAACTGTTCAATTTTTTTCTCTAATAGTAACATAAATCAATTCCACTACAAAATATTCCATCTATATGGTCATGTTTCACAAATGTAAATTAAATTCTTCTTAGGCATAATTACTTTATATGAAGCTAATCCTAAATTCGAAAAAATAACTTCATCAACTAGTGATCAAGAATTACACAGTTGTAACTGAAAAACAAGATGTAGTCGTGTACAAATTCTAAAATACTTTTTTCGTCACGGCAAATTAGTCAAAGACCAAATAATGTGATTTGTGTAAGTTTGAACTAAATTCAATCTATCATTATTCATAACCAAAAATAATATGAGAAAAGAGACAATATGCAAATTGGTCTTGCTGCCTATAATAAACAAAAATCTCAATCGATGATACAAGAGCAAACAAAGCAAATTGGTTCTATTCAAATTTCGCCCATGTTATTCATATCAGTCGGAATGATATGCAACCCGTTGAGATCGATAATAAACAAAGAAAAACTTCTTCATACTGAAAATCACATGAGCATTGAAAACATCATAAAACAAGAAACTTATTCCTTGTCCAACAATATCATCAAGAATATTATTTTTGATAAAGTTTCCATACCACCTGCCCAATATTCTACTGGCTCGAATGACATAATAGGTTGCTATCCTCATTATGATTGCACCGAAAGTATTTCTATGGAAAATTTTAGTAGATCAAAATATCATTGAGCACAAAGCAACATTGACTCTCTATTGTTATCAATGAGTAATTTTAATCAATTATCTACACTTGAATTCAATTTAATGTTGTAGAGATCTTCCATGATTCGTAACAACAATATTAAGAATAGAATAATATCATTGGCGAGACGTTCATCGATGGGTGATATTAATGATTTAATTTATGGAAAAAAACCCAAAAAGTGTAAGTCAACAATGAAATATCATCTTTAAAAAATGTTTACACAATCTCATTGGATTTTTCTTTTCAAAACTATTTGAATGGTTTTCGTCAAAAGACATCGTGGCCCAATGAAATCTGATAGTTTTTCTCATTTAAGCGTGTTATGATCGTGTGCCAGACTGTGACACTTTTTTTCTAAAATACATTGGATTCTCTGAACTGTAGCTTCATTAATGTCATCAGTACCTTTGTTTGTTTGTGGTTTCATGTAGTTCAAAACGAATGCCATATCCTCAAGCTCGACTAAAGAAAAATTGTAAGCATCATTTCATTTCTGCTTTATGGCTTACTTCGAAATCGGTTTTCTCTCAAGAGTCTGTTAAGTTGTGTTTGAATTTTTTCTTTGAATTGATTATCATCTTCTTGATGATCTGTGGCAAGTTGAGTAAGATAACTGATGTATGTCTCAAGGGAAGCAGTCACTTCAAGATGTTCTAGAATAAGATGATCGCGATCAATTAATCTATAAAAAAAAACGAACTCTACAGTAAATCACAGGACAAGATTATTATTTCAACTACCCATTTTTTTAAAATTTATTCATACGAAAATCAAAATCTAATCTCGTTTACTGTGTATGACTATTTTCTTTAAATATTTCATTTGTTGAAGAATTAAATAGTTGACGGTCAGATATATTCTCTAACCTCACTAAACAAATACGAAATATGTTAAGTGTAAAAGTCTCTTGTAGACTAATAGTGTTTCTGCAGGATAATCAAGCGTTTGAGTAAGAACCATCTTTCTAATTTTTGCATTCTTCATATTTGCTCATTTTTTTTCATTTTTTTTATAAATTTATTTAATAACGCAAGGGATTGAAACCAAAGATTATTTCATTTAAAGCAACACATTATGGTACAAGAAATAGAATGTTACAATAAATTCTACATTGCATATTAGCTTATATAAAAATATGCAACGAATATATTCATGGTTAATATGTCATTATATAACATTTAACACAAAGTGATGCACAAGAACATCATTGGCCTTCATTTTCACCATCCTTGTGGTGAATATTTTCATGAAGACGGTTCTATTATCTTTAAACAACCAACGTTGATATGCTGACCATTGCTTCTTCAAATGTTTATCCAACTTTGGAAATAAACAGTGACCAACAATTATGACAACACCCATTAAAACTAAGACTGATTGAGATACTGTTATTGTCCATTGATCATTTGTGAAATAGAAAATAAAAGTTGACATTAAACCCATCATAATGGCCCGCACAAGAATTGAACCATAGAATTCATTTAATAAATAGGTATAGTATAAGATGAATAAAGCTACCACTACTTTTCCTAATTTCAATCAATGGGGAACAAACTGATTTCAAGCACAGGAATCAAATTGAAATCAATAGAAATCAACTGAAACTAAAAAGAATTAATGTGAATGATTTTATATCAATTTCAAGGCATTTTCAATAAATGATTCAAGAAAAGCAAATTTATCAACTTTTAATACAGATTCTGTAGATTTAATTGCAAGAAAACGTTAAAAAAAGATCTGAAGGCTTCTCTATTAGGCGAATAATAAGCTTTGTTATTATATATTCATTACTACGTAGATCAACTAATTCATTCATATGATGGGGAATATGAATTTGCGGCAAAATCGAATTCATTAACATCATCTCTATTTGTGACAAAATAAAAACTGTAGTGGTATAGCGGTATAAGCAGTATACCACTATACTACTATACCATACGATGGGGTACCTAGTGTGGGTGTGGAGGTATCTTCTCCCTCTCCCATAGCTGCGAAACGATCATTTCTTGACAGCGTTTTGTACTGTCTCCGAAACTGTGGTATCGTATATTTTGGATGAAAAAAAATTGAACACCATTAAGTATTTCATAGAAGTTGAGTTGTATATACAATCCATATATACTCGTTTGCATTGATTCATAGAACTCTAGAACTATAATTTACATAAACTTCGATAAAGTTAAGAGATGGATTCGAACACGAGAACAAAATACTAAAAGACATGCACACAAACCGTACAACTAAAATAGTCAAATGATATCTCTATTTATTGTCTCGTTATTCTGACTCTCCCATAAACTTGTTATTGAAATAGATTTTCGGTTTCTCATATCGATAAATTAAAAATGATCACTTCCTTGATACTTAAATCCAATTATTGTTGTCATATTCCTCTTGGTTTACTTTATTTTTACCTTCTTTGAAATTTAAAGTTGAGTACACCCTAGTCAACTCTCCCTCGAAGAATCCCCAGGGAGTCCCCTGACAAATCCCCGGGGACTTACGACAGGGATTTCATTATTTTGCGGGGAGTCGTCGGGGGAGAGTGGATTAGCGACACCCCATTGGAACAAATTTAATCGGATCTAAATTGGATTTAATATTTTAGAAAAATTGAATGCATGAAATATGAATTGAGAAGAATTAAACTTAAAAATGTTTGCGTTTTATTTTCTTATTTATTGATTTTTGTGGCTATGAATTCAACATCCTTCAACTCAATGACATTGATAAATGAAAGACAGTTTCTTCTGTAATCGAAGCCCAGTTACATGAATATCATACGAACCAAAATCATATTTTAGTCGCTTTGTAGGTAGTATCATTAGTCAGTATTGCTATGTATTCTTTTCTCTCACATTATTAAACTCAGTTATCAGCGAGGCAGCAACGTGATAGTATGACAACAGAATGGAACAAAAGGATAATCTCCCTCCGATGGAGTCGAACCAACGTCTTCTGCTTTCCGGGCAGCTGCACTACCACTATACTAGGAA